CCCCCGCCAGGTCAGCTCGCCACCCCTCTGCAGCCCCTCCTCTCGGGGCACAACGGGAAACGAAACCTCCCACCGAAGGGCGGTCTGTGAGGAGTGCCCGGACTGGCAGCCAGCCCTTACCAGCTTGCTGAAGTAGTTGCGGCTCACTTTCACCATCTCCCCCTTGTACCGCACACATGCCACGTTGTTCTCCATGTGCATTTCCACGCTGGGGAGCGGTGGGGAGGGGATGGCCAGTCTCACTGGGTAACAGTACACGAGCCTGTCCTGGACTTCAGGAGCTTCTATCTCAGCTACGGAGAGTAACGAGAAAGCCAGCCCGTCAGAATCCATGGAGGTGCGGGACACACCTTCCGTCCACCTCCAAACATGCAGCGACAGGAGGGGGGCTAAAGAGCAGCGCGCTCCCTCCAAAAACACTCTGGTGGTCCTTCACGGATCTTGCACGCAGCTACCGAGGTTCAGAGCTGATTCCCCAAATTAATTCCATCACCTACTGCCAGAGCACACAGAGGACCCATTTCACAGATTTCTCCACCTCTAGCACAGCAGACCTGTTGACTGCACACAACCATCCCAGCATCGCGAGGCATGTTCCAGACGAGTAAAACGCTTTTCTTGTTGCTACTGTTATTATTTCAGGCTGCCCCAAATTCATCCAAAGCACAGTAAACACTCGCAAGCTGTCAGGAGCAGGAGGCAAAGGAATCTTCCTGCCACCTTGTGGTTACCCATCACAGACAGCAGCTTAGCCTCGGCTACAGCGGGAGGAGAGAGCTCACGGGAAAAATCAGTTGGAAAGAATCGTGAATTCAACCGGGTGGGAAGACAAGGCACTCTGAACCCAAGAAATGTGGCAAAGGAGGATACAGGGATGAGAGAGCACCCAGCACTAGGAAGGGGGTTGTCAGCTGTCCCCAGGAATCGCGCGGTCAGCTCCTGACGAGCTACTCAGTCCTGACCAACCAGACATTCATGCGACCTGACGCTACGGCCGGCAGCAGGACCTGATGGCAGACACCTTCCCACCGCGCAGGCACCCCGTGACTCTGTCAGCTAGGACCTACGCTGGTCTGGCTATTTC